GAAGATAACCACACGCACACCGAGGGCGTGGCTATCATGATGTCACCAACGGCAACGAAAGCCCTGATACAATGGGAGGCGATTTCGTCCAGGATAATGACCGCCAGGTTCAACTCCAAAGGAAGGAAAGTGTCAATCATACAATGTTATGCACCCACAAACAACGCAGACCTCGAGAAGAAAGAAGAATTCTACAGGCAACTACAGGCAACAATGGACAATACTCCAGCTGGCGACATGAAAATACTAATGGGAGACATGAACGCCAAACTGGGACCAGACAATACGGGAAGGGAACTCATCATGGGTAGAGAAGCTCTAGGAGAAATGAATGAAAACGGAGAACTCTTCGCCGACTTCTGCGCCTTCAACGAACTGGTGATTGGTGGCAGTGTATACAAGCACAAAGATATCCACAAGGCTACATGGGTGTCACCAGACGGGCAAACCAAAAACCAAATCGACTTCATCTCAATCTCAAGGAAGTGGAGGCGCAGCCTACTGGACACAAAAGCAAGAAGAGGAGCAGACGTTGGCTCAGACCACTATCTCGTACAAGGGACAATCCAAATCAAATTAAAAGCTTTCAGAGAAGGAGGAGCTGCAGATAGACCACAAGCCAAGTTCAACACTCAAAAGCTGAAGGACCAGGCTACAAAGGACATCTTCATTGCAAGCATAAAGGACAAAGCCGAGACACAAATCAACACTAGCGAAGAGGTCGGCGTTGAAAAGCACTGGAACAACTTGAAAACGGTGTGGAGCCAAACCTGCATAGAAATTCTAGGCAGAAAAAAGAGACAGGACAAACAGTGGCTCACTACGGACACTTGGAAACTAATAGAAGAGAGAAGGACAGTGAAGCAAAAGATTATCCAGTGCACGACGAGCAACAAAAACAGGAGCTGAATGCAAGCTACAATACACTGAACAAAAGAGTGAAGAAAAGTGCCAGGGAAGACAAAAGAAAATATTATGAAACCATGGCAAACGAAGCAGAACAAGCTGCAGGCAAAGGAGACCTCGCCACACTCTACCAAACAACTAGGAACCTTTCGGGCAAACGTTCGACACAGATTAAGCCAATAAAGGACGACAATGGAAAGTCAATCACCAAAGAGGTGGAACAGAGAAAGCACTGGGTTGAACACTTCAAAAGACTTCTAAATCGTCCGCCACCTACAACACGTCCAGCAATACCAACAACGGAAGCAGAACTACCAGTGAACACTGACCCCCCGACGAAATCAGAAGTCCTGAATGCAATCAAGATGCTTAAAACTGGGAAAACACCGGGACCAGATGGAATCCCAGCAGAGGCTTTGAAAATAGACCCAGAGACAACAGCGGACTTGATGACACCACTACTGGAGAAGGTGTGGAAAGAGGGCAAAGTACCCGAGGATTGGAAGAACAGTTACTTATTCAAACTTCCAAAGAAAGGAGACTTAAGTCAATGTAAAAACTGGCGTGGAATTATGCTTCTGTCCATTCCAAGCAAGATACTAAGTCGCATCATCCTGGAGAGAATCAAACAAGCCCTAGATGAAAAACTTCGTCCGGAACAGGCTGGATTCAGGAGAAACAAATCATGTATTGATCAAATCGCCACTCTACGGATCATCATTGAACAAAGCTTGGAATGGCAGTCACCTCTCTATCTCAACTTCATCGACTTTGAAAAGGCCTTCGACAGCGTCGATCGAGAGGTCATTTGGAAACTACTTCGCTACTACGGGGTCCCATCGACAATTATACACCTCATCCAACAGTTATACGACAATGCTGCATGCCAAGTAATCCACAACGGGAAACTTACGGAAGCCTTCGAAGTGAGGACGGGAGTGAGGCAAGGCTGTCTACTATCACCAATGATCTTCCTGATTGCAATTGATTGGATAATGCGACAGACAACGGCAACCAACGAGGGAACAGGCATAAAATGGACTGACACAAAAGACTTGGAGGATCTGGATTTCGCCGATGATATATGTCTGATTTCCCATAAACTGGAAGATATGCAAATGAAAAGTAACAAGTTGGCAGAAGAAGCATCAAAGATAGGACTTCACGTGAACATAGATAAAACAGAGATGATGAAGATTCCTTGCCAACATCAACAGCAACAACAGACCACAATAAGCATAAATGGGAAGAACCTGAAAGAAACAACCTCCTTCACCTACCTGGGAAGCATCGTCTCAACTACAGGCGGAACTGACGAGGACATCAAAGCCAGAATCGGAAAAGCAAGACAAGCTTTCATTACTCTCAAATCTGTGTGGAGGTCAACAGCAATCAGCATCAAAAATAAGATCCGGATTTTCAACTCCAATGTGAAGTCAGTGCTACTATACGGATCAGAGACTTGGCGAGTCATAAAGAGCATCTCAAACAAACTTCAAACCTTCATTAACAACTGTCTCCGCTCAATACTCAAGATCAGATGGCCAGAAAAGATCAGCAACAGGGATCTCTGGGAGCGAACCAATCAGGAACCGATTGTGAAACAAATAGGCAGAAAGAAATGGAGATGGATTGGCCATACGCTGAGGAAACCATCAAGTGACATCACTAGACAAGCCCTCGAGTGGAACCCGAAAGGGAGGCGGCGAGTTGGTCGTCCAAGGGTGACTTGGAGGAGGTCATGTGAAGAGGAGATGAAAGCATGTGGGCAGACCTGGAGCAGGGTGAAAAAGTTGTCAGAAAACCGAAGTCAATGGAGGTGCGCAGCTGAAGCCCTATGTTCCTCTAGGAACTAAAGGATACAATAATAATAATAATAAAATAATAATAGTAGTACCGGTCATATCAACTAACTTATATCAAATTATAAGACTAAATGAGTCATTTCACTTTAAAGCTGTACAGTTATTCGTTTGGAGGTGTATATATGCAATGCAGATTGACAATAGAGGTCAAAGGTTATTCTAAGTTAATAACAAATCAAAGTGCATGAGTAATAAATACTTTTGAAAAATTAAGGATAGTCTTACGTAATCAAGAAGGTTGACAACTAACCAGTTGAATGATGAATAGTCGTTTAGAAATAAACGACAAAAGACAAAAAACAAAGGATTAAAGGCGATATAGACACCTAATTTTCTCCATGTCTGTTTGTATTTCTCTCACTCCACTTAATGATTTATGACCGAATTTTCTCTCAGCCTACTTATGACCTTTGAAATCCTATTAGTTGTTCACTGTTTTAATTTATCCATGACAATAGTGCCTCTCAAGGTCATTTTAAATATATATATATATATATATATATATATATATATATATATATATATATATATATATATGCCTCCAAAGCCTCAGGATGGTCGGGGGTGGGTGCCTTGGTCTGCGGGTTGGCCACCCCTCCGTACACCTCTTGAAATGCTCCCATATAACCGGGCGTCTTACATAGCCTCTCCTGAGGAAGTCCTACTCACTGCCTTCACGTGGCGGAGGTGTTTTTCACCGAAGTGAGAGAGCGAAACCGGGTCACTCACTGAACTCCAAACCAAGTGCTGAATAATCGACTGAATAACGTCGTGGCCTCAAGAGCCTAGGCTCAACTCTTGGTTGGGTTTACTCTGATGAAATGTCTCCAATTAGAAGGATTTCCGATAATTCCCTGATTGATGTCGACTTATGACTAAATCTCTCCAATGACATAATATTGTAGACAAACATAACTTTTCATTTTATTTCTTTGAGTTGCGAGTGGAACATGGGGCTTCAAGCTTGAGCTATGAAGTTCCAGTTGCAGTGGGGTAGTCTCATCTAGCTCAACCTTTATTTTTTTTTTTATGGTTACAGCTTGATTCCACACCGTATTTTTGGTACAAGTGTGGAATTTTCAGCGTGGATATCGGTAGCCCAAAATTCGCAGGCCAACCATAGATATCAGGTGTGCGTCGGCGAGGGCTCGAACCCCGGACCATGTGCATGGTCGGCGAGAATCCTAACCACTGTGCCACCGACGCACCTTCCATCTTTACAGGGCCTTCTACCACCTAACCGAAGACTATTAGTGCGTTGGCAACGGGGAATTGAACCTCAGACCACCGCCGCAAAGTCGAACAAAAAGGTGTATAATTATAATAATAATAAATAAAGAAGCATAAAATGAACCCACACAAAAAACTTGAAGAATCTGCACTTCACCGATGATATATGTCTGATTTCCCACAAACTGGAAGATATGCAAGTGAAAAGCAACAAGTTGGCGATAGAAGAAGCATCAAAGGAAGGACTCCCAGTAAACATAGAGAAAACAGAGGTTTTGAAGATTCCTGGCCAACAGCAACAGCAACAAGAACAGATAACAATCAGCATAAATGAGAGGAACCTGAAAGAAACAACCTCCTTTACCTACCTACCTAAGAAGCATCGTTTCAACTATAGGCGGAACCGACGAGGATATCAAAGCAAGACAATCTTCCATTATTCTCAAGTCTGTGTGGAGGTCAACAGCACTGCCCAGCATGAAAACGAATATAGGATCTGGATATTCAACTCCAATGTGAAGTCAGTGCCACCTACTATATGGATGGATCAGAGACTTGGTGCATCATAAAGAGCACCTCAAACGAACTACAGACCTTCATCAACAGCTGTCTTCTCTCAATACAACTCAAGATCAGATGGCCGGCCAGAAAAGATCAGCGACAGGCATCTCTGGGAGCAAACCAACAAGGAACCGATTGTGCAACAAACAAGCAGAAAGAAATGGAGATGAATTGGCCATACTCTGAGGAAACCATCAAGTGACATCACTAGACAAGCCCTCGAGTGAAACCCGAAAGCGAAGAGGCGAGTTGGTCGTCAGTGCAAGAGTGACTTGGAGGAGGTGATGTGAAGAGGAGATGAAAGCATGTGGGCTGACTTGGAGCCAGGTGGAAACTTTAGCAGAGAACCGAACGCAATGGAGACGCGCAGCTGAAGCCCTATGTTCCTCTAGGAATTAAAGGAAATAATAATAAATAAGTAAATAATTATAAACTCACCAAGAAATAAATATAATCCAACAATTAAAGCACCAGGTGTTAATAGAATAGATCTTTCTTGTACATTGAAATCTTCACCTAATTCAGATATTGGTATACAACTGCCAACAGTTGGATGATTAACACGATCACTACGTGGATATCTAATTGGACCAGTTTCATTCGACTTCCAATCACGTGATATTGCACGTAGACTAGAATATGGACAGACAGGACTTAGCAGTAATCCATAAGTGAAACACACACCATCGACTAGTACCATACAACAGAATGAGCCAAGGACAACAATCCAACCCCAACCACCATCAGGGACAACATCTTGTGCATTGATTTCTAAAAAGTAAAAAAGATTATGGGCAATTCAAATAGGTGATGTTTATTAATAGACTGTATATACAATATGAAGTCAGTGCATAAATACAGTTTTCTCTGCTAGAAAACTGACCTTTAATTTGTGTTATTATCAATATCAAAAATATTAGTAAATGCAAGTGTCATCTTGTCAACTTACAAAAATGTACACATCTATAGGAATCTATTGCAATCATTTGGTTTATAGGTGTATTATATCTTATGATTGCAATATATATATATATATATATATATATATATATATATATATATTTCAAGTATTGGTTTTGTAGGGTTTTAGTTTGATTGGATGGAGGATTTCATCACGAGTTTACATCAGTTTTACTGAACCACTGGAAAACCTGAAGGGAGTACTGGACAGCTGTTTCGTCCTCGTTTGGGACTCTTCATCAGTACGCATCCACTGGGGTTCGAACCCCAGTGGTAAACAGGGGAAATCAATCGACGAAGCCGTGAAGCTACAAAGACTGAGATGGTTAGGACATGTGTTACGTATGCCAAGTCATCGCCTCCCTCGACAATGGGCAATGTTAGCGGATATAGGGTCAGGCTGGAAAAGTGAGAGCTAGCGGCGGTCAAACAAAAACTTGGTACCAGTCAATGAAATCCACAACAGTTGGTCTAAGCCACGTAGGAAGGTGTAGACTTCCAGGCTGGGGTCCTCGGGACGGTAAAAATCTATGGTTGGAAACAATTAGTGACATGGCTCAAAATCGTTCTCAGTGGCGCAGATGCATCCACTCCCTGTGACTTATGATCTTCAATGAAACTGTTTTGTTCTTCGTTATTACTCTTCCTTTGTCTCACACCTCTGCTCACTGTTTCTATTATGCTTTTCTTGTACTTTCTTCTCTTGCTTCGCGTGCTACACGGAGTGTGGCGACTTGAACTTCCGCACATTTGTGCAAAGTTCTATGTCGAAAACAGACAGACAGAGAGACAGACAGCGGTTCAGTAAAACTGATGTCAGCCCATTATGAAATCCTCCATCAAATATATATATATATATATATATATATAAATACTGTTCCTCAAATATTCTTATATTTTTCTTAGATTAGCTTTTCGAGTTTGCCCACGGATTGATACCAGTTAGAGAACTATTGAAAACCAACAGAGAGTACTGGACAGCTCTTTCCTCCTAGTTTAAGAATCGTCGGCAGTACACACCCACTGGTTAAACTCGTGATCAAACTGGAAAAACAAATCTAGCCCTTACAAAACAACTCTTGAAAATTAATCTGATGCTCGCTAGTAACTTGCTGTTACAGAATGGAGTTTCCTGGACTTCTAGTGAGAAGTAGTGGACAGTGAAGTCTATCCAGTTGATAGTGAGAATGGAGTTCCACTCGATGACATTGGTTGGTGTCAGTCGCGGTAAAACCACGAATTGGTAGAAGTTAAAATTCATGGGTTGATCACTGAGGAGTCGGGTCTCAGTGGCTGAATGGTATACGAGCTTGCTAGCCTTGTAACCGGAAGGTCCTGAGTTCGAACCCCAGTGGGGGTGCGTAATACCGATGATTCGCAAACTAGGTTGGCGAAACAGCTGTTCAGTACTCCCTGTTGGTTTTCAATGGTTCCTTAACTGATATCAATCCATGGTAAAACTAGAAAAACAAATCTAATCCTTACAAAACAACTAGAAGTTAATTGGTGCGTGGCGACTAGCAGTGGAATCCAGGATGTGCATTTTATCCTATTTGGGACTTGCCAGCTAGCTGAATGTGCCTGTCTTCCGCAGTGACTGGTGATGTTTCCACCAAGGCTCGCGCCCAGTGCACACAGTTTAAAACGCCAAAGCGTTATCCACCAAACCACCTTTTGGGCGACGGGTCGCATAAATTATTTAATTGAATTTTACATTTCCCCATCGACTGAATGAATCGAAGTTCTCGGTCTCAGGCACTGGGTGTGAGCGGAATGCAGGTACACCTAGATGACGAGTCCTAAATAGGACGAAATGCGCCACCAATTAAGTTCTAATTACATGCCCAGACATCGTCGAAGCTTTTGAACAAGGATTTGACATGCTAACCTGAGATCAGGCAACTAGGTCTAATCAATCAACGGGAAAATCTAAAATTAAATTAAATTACAAAACAACTCTTGAAAATTTCTTTTAGATTGTTGTTGGTGTTATTCTAATATAACTGATTAGTACATCTTCTAGTGCCAGCATTGTAGCAAGTTCGTGTTTTTAAAAGAATAAAAAATAAATTATGGTACGTATGACAGACACACTGACTGACTGGCTGATTTCAACATAGAACCTTGCACAGAACTTTTCAGACTCCATGTAGCACATTAATGAAGACAAGAGAGGGAAAAAAGGGATTCTAAAGGACGATATTAGGCAGAAATATAGAGGAGAAACAGTAATAACATGCAAAAATAATGGGGGTGTTTTAGATATGGTAGATTACAAACAGCAAATGCATACGAGTGACTGAGAACGATTTTGAGCCATATCAGCAATTATCTCCAGCCAAACAGTCTACACCACTCTATATGGCTGGTTCAAACTAAGAGCCAAAGGCTTCAGGGATTGATGTCATATTTTCATTTGACCACCACCAGCTCTTTTCCAACCTAATCCTATGTCAGCTGAAATTCCCGGTCGAGGAAGATGATGGTTAGGCTGCATAACACATGTCTTAGCCACCTTGATCGATGTAGTTGCGCAATCTCATCGACTGATTTTCCCTCCTTGGTTAACATTCGACGCCTAACCTCAACATTACTCACCATATCATACTACATAACACTGTGGATAGAACGCAGACACATATGATCAAAAACACTAGTCTTTTCATGTCTTACTAGAATAAAACGATTGAAGCCTGATTTATGTGTCTAAAAAGAATCCGTTGTTGAACTTCAATTACCCTGGTGACTCACTTCTTAGAGCAAATTTTTGTTTTCTAATTTTGTTGGCTTATCTTTTCACTCCACCCCCTTCCTTTATTTTCCGCTCGACTCTCTTAAGAGATAATTTTCTTTTGGATCTTCTGAGTTCTGCTCACTGTATTACGTCATCAACTTGTGCACCAAAATTTTAAAATTTTGATCTTCTCTTATCTAATTACGCAACTATTGTCTTTTGTTACCACCCCAACAACACAACTGTTAATTAATATTTTTTCAAGAAACTTCTCTCTAACAAGATATATATATATATATGTCGTAACACTTTAGACACCCTGTAAATCGCAATGCATTATTTTACTATGACGCTCTGACAATAGGCTTGCTAATGGACAAAAGTTTGTTAAAATTGGCAACTTATTTTTATTTTATTGAAAAATTCAGGTTGAACGCAGCTGATGAGAACCAACGAAATAAAATGGATCCAGATTATTCTGCGCCAATGTTTCTTCTTTCTTTGTTCAAATCTTACTAGATAGTTGAAGGCTATCGGCAGGAAGCCTTGTCTGACCTAGGTTTCGTGCTAGCTGGCACTCACCAGTCAGCAAGGAGGCATATCTGCAATCGCCTTCAAGGAACTCATGTCCCTTCTGAGGAGATTCGAACCCGTGTCTCCTAATAGTACGTGTGGTTGCTATGCATACACACTAACTAACACATGTAGCCAAGTGAGATAAAACATCATGTGTTACAACACTATCTATAAATTGTAGAATTTGGCAATTAAACCGACCCAAGACAAGAAGATGGCTTATTGAACTGGGTGTGGATTTTGTCACAAACTAATATCAGCTAAAAGAACCATTGAGAATCAACGAGAACAGCTGTGCTAAAACCTTACGACAAACATGTTTCGTAACTTAAGAAAGCAGAACTCACCGGCAACAGATGTATGATAAGCTTGCTCAATAACCGGACCAGTTTGATATTGGACAACATGATTTCCTGGTTGAATTAGATGCTGAGGGTGAGGATGATTTCCACGATAGGCTATTAATCCAGCCTCCGCCTCCTTTAAATTATTACACTGTGATGATGAATAATGAGACGCAGATGTTGCATCAATAGAAAATTCACCGGCACCAGTTGGATAAGCTGGTGGTAGTAGTTGTCCAGATGAAGGAATAACTGGATTGTAGGGCTGTGACTGTTGGAATTGCTGTTGTTGTTGTTGCTGTTGCTGCTGATCTTCCTTCACCTTTTCGTGTAATTCCTAGAAGAAAAATAATCGCAAAAGGAATGAAAAATGAACAATCTTCCGAAACAGGAGATCTAGTGGATGACACTTGCCACCATAAACAATCTGATCTGGCTGATGATGCGTAGACTTTGACCTTCCTCTCGAAATGCTGTCATGTGGTTACGCGTTCATAGCCTCTGTCAGGCAAACCCTATTCGCTACTTTCACGTAGTGGGGTGTCCCATGCATAAGGTGAAGAGAGAATTTGAACTTCTGGCACCTACAACAGGACTAGAAAACCCTGATTCCAAATCTCTAGTATACATGGGCCCCAGAATCCGTAAGGGTCGAATGGTGTATTAATCTGCTGATCACTGGAAACCACTATGAAGTGGCTCCTAAGATTGTTCCACTTCATTGTTGTCAAAACTTTAAGTCAAAGTCCCGGCGGCATCTCTTACGATAACCACTTGTTTCGGTCCAAGCTTTCAGGCAGTATCCCAGCTATGGCACAAACTAAAATTTTGTTTGTCAAATCTCTTGATCTTCATAAATTACCAAGTTTGTTTTTATAATAATAATAGTCAACAACCATTTGTAATTTCATGCACAGTGGACAATGAACCACGCACCTATTGTTCATGAAGGCTAATAATACCAATTGGTTGTCTAAACCTCGGTAGTAGGTGGGTGAAACGGGTTCGATCAGTTAGAAGTCAACCACCCAAACCAGTGAGCGACAGCTCTCTAGGAAAAGTAGCGTTAGAAATCGAGTATTTAATGAAGTTAGATGTAATTAATACATTAAATGTTAAAAATAGTCTCTATTATCACCAAAAGAATATAAAAATTGGGACTTCAACTAATTGACTGATAGTGAAAGGGAACTTGAGTCGCTGTGCTGAGATATGTAATGATATATACAGTCTATATTTTAACCTTATTCATCAATTTTTCACGAGAAAAAAGAAAGAACAAAATACACAACATTGAAGCCAGTTACCTTTAAAAACAACCTTAGATCTTCACTGCCTGTACTATCTTCATTAGCTTCACATTGTAGTCGATCTTCTTCTTCAGTTGTTAACTGATTTGGTTGTTTATTTGATTCTGCTACGGCGGTGGATACTTTGACGGATTCTTCAGTCATGTAGAGATTCTATATCTCGGTTCTTGAATAGGCCAAATATGTTGTTACAAACAAATAATTTATTGCACCTACAATCAGAAGTGAAAGATTAACGATTGGTGAAGTAGTCGTCTAGTATGAATAGTATTAAATATTCGGCTGAAGCATTTTTACTTTTATTCGAATGTAATTCTGTTTCGTCACTGGATTTCAGTGGTGTGATAAACAGATTCGAAATCTGTAAGACTGTTCACTCATCTCATGAAAACCAAAATACTTTTTGTTATTATGACTAAAAACAACAGAACTGTAAGACTCGAACAATTATATTTAGTTGAACCAATGTGGTAACTGTAAAAATCATTCTGCTAAGAAAAACTAATGCACTACTCTCTTTTATAACACAGTTCATGAGTAGTACGTAATGAATATAAGAATAATATGAACGAACAAGACAGAACCACTAGCCAACTGGTTGTAAAATGCTTATAGAAGAAGCCAAATACTACATATGAAATTAGACTTTTTAAGTTAAAATGACAAGAGAAAATATAAATAACTTTATGCAAAGCTCGTAACAAATTAAAACAGCCTAACGTTATTCCTTTTCATGAGCAGTAAGCCCCTTATCCTTACACTAACAGAAGGCTGGTCAAAGATGCTTATTTTAACTGAATAATGTTCAGCATGTGCGAAAATTTTAATACAATTAGGAAGGAAAAACAAAAGTAAAGGGACGACAGTTAAAGATTTACGAAAAACGATGTCGAAACTATTCCAGTTTTCTCTCATGTACTAAGCTTTTGTATTTGTAGGGCAATAGTCTGAAAACAATAGGAATTTCTCCCCACTCTGTTTAACAGCATAATTTCTTCAGCGAGATCTATAGGAAGTTCTACGACAAAATAAAAACATTTCAAGGGAACTTCAGGTTTATTCAGGGAAATTTTGAGGCAACTCAACAAGGAAATTCAGGTGATGATTTCGGGGAAAGCGAAATTTTTCCAAAACAAACCCTAATTACCCTAAGCGAAACCCTATAATTACCAAGAATTTTTTATCTGGGAAAAAGCTATCTAGTCATTCTCTATATTATAATCAAGATGATAAAACGCGCCCCTAAAATTTGGGCCAATCAAAATCTTAGACGGATTATTTTCTACAAGGACGTGAATTTGCTCCATGACCACATGGTTAAATAATAAAAAAAAATTATTTTACAAGTGTGCATGATATAAGAGGCAGAGATGGATGCATCCATCATCTGGGCAGCATACCTTGAGAAGCTTCCGGACTAAAATTATGCAGCTTGCCGCCGGTCAATCACTTGAATTATTTCCCATCTTAGTTTAAGCTCTTTTGCTAAATCCAGACTCAACAAACGACATCTGCAAGAACAATTTCGAAAGTCGCGGAAAATTGATTAATAACCTTCAAGTTGGTGTAAGTAACTCAGAAGAAGCAGAAATTACTTCACAATAATATTTGACTGTACGTACTCTAGTCTTTAGTCACACTTTAGATTCTGACTTTTGGTTTTCTTCTGCCTTCATCTTATGTTTAATATCTTTTATAAGTTTTGTTGATTTTATTGGCTAGCTTCGTGTTTTTGAGGTACAGTTCTAGCTATTTGGTGAATTCTGGTGCAGTCTGCTCTACCGACTACTCCAGCTTCATTCAGATCAGTAAGAAAAGGTAAGTGAAATCATTTTGGAGGAAATGTTCGGTTTTCACTAGGCAAGTGGCACTGCTAGCACGGTAGTGAAGTGTACATAAATATGCAGAATACCTGTAGTGTCAATGGCACCCTTCACGGATGTGCGCAGATTTATCGTTTTCGCATAACAGCTTTGTCAGACAGAACAAAGTGGCACACCTTTTGATATTCAACCAACTAACCTTTTACCCACTTGTTAATGACTTCGATTATACTGCAGAAATATCAGAGCGAACGTTGGTTACTCTGAAGATACTTTAGGTCGCACTCTGAATGAGTCTGATATATGGAAAGCCACTAAGTGTCTGGTATTTGGATCATACTTAGAAGTGGTTTGTTTGAAGTCTCCTGCACTACCATCTTTCTGAGACAACTTTTTTCCACTTATCCAAGAGCTTTTATATTTAAAGCCAAGCCAAGTATTTTCTGCGTTACCTCGGTGACGTGATGAGTGTTGTGATGGAGTTTGTGGGCAACTTAGAGCATATACTTAGCGAAGATAACTCAGTGTTCATGGTTTTCTTCACTTAGGTGACAAAGTTTAGAGCCTTGAGCTGTTAGAAAATTTCTGATGCCTCCCATCTTAGTGTAATATCCACGTCATTCGGAAATTAGTGGCAGGTCCCAATAACCCCGTCGTCCAAATACGTAGGCTTATAGCAGAGGGATCGTTGGTAGTTGTGTCTCCATTAAAAGAGATTGCAGCTGATGCCTCCTTCGGTTTTACCTAGCAGACGGTTTCATTTTTGTCTCCGATTAATGGTAGCAACCGAGACAAATGTGCCCTGGTGGACAAAATCCCAGGGGATTGTGTGAAATGGTCAGTCATAAACAACCACAATTCCGTGCTTATAAGAATCCTGGGCCTTTTCGTGACGAACGATTAGATTCAATGGATAGTGGGATGTCTCAGGTTGATAACTATTTCGGTGGAGCATTACTGGGTCATGGACTTGTTTGGTTTGACGATTTAACGACTATGTAACCGACTGATCATTTGAAATCACCTTAACTGAAACGTACACGAAAGTCAATGGTTACAATGGTTTACACACGAAATTATCACTGTGTAACCCACTGATTGTACTTCATTTGTCCACTAAGGATATCTTCTCTGGATATGCATAGTTACGAACTCACTGCTAACGAAGTTTATCTATCCCAAAGATAACTTTGAAGGACAAACACATATTGCTAATTATAAATAAATTCAAAACATTTATAAGCAGGTTCATGACTGACTATTTATTATGGATGGAGGCCACATTACTGAATGTGTCGACAAGGGCCGTTTGGCAGCAACTTTATTTGTAGATGTTAGGAAAGCTTTTGATATGGTCCCACATAACATACCCATATTGAAGCTCTTATCATATGGAATAAGTGGAAGGCTAATCGAGTGAATGACTTCCTTTCTTACGGAAGAAGAACAGTTAGTCAAAATCAACCATCACTTATCTATATCCAAACCAATAACCAGCGGCGTGATTAAAGGTACTGTTTGCGGTCCTAACCTAGTCAATCCATTTATAAACAATATTGTCTCAACAATCAAGTGTAGCAAGCAGTACCTGTCAATGCTGTTGAAGAGTAGACGATCAATTCATGGTTGTTTGTTAAAAACAAACTTCCCCAATTCTCGCGGAAGCATCAATACACCAGCCATCGTCTCATCGGTCGCTGTTGAGAAAGAAATCAGACCAAAATTGTCAGAAGTAATATTGTGATTTATTATTGTAATATTTGTTCATAGACATTAGTTGAAGCTTAATATTACATATAACATACATATTGGTGTTAGAATAAATAATTCTCGAGTCGCCAAACTGGGTTCTGGTTTGTGCGTCCGTTCATACTAAGCGTTTCTGAGAAGCTCCGAGGAGCTGCGTGAGTCCCAGCGTAGCAAGAGCTGGGCATTGACGGTTTACGAGACGTGGCTGACAGTTTCTGACGGTTTTGTCAGTATCTGACGGCGGAAACATTTTCTCACGGATTCAGATAGCTGGTGAAAGTTTGGATAGACACCATTCATCTTTCCTGGTGCCGGCCAAGTCTTCTTCGAACAAGCAATATCTGGAACGTTTTTGGAATTGGGTCAAGTTCAACAATGCCTGGGTCAAAGAAGGGACAGAGCGTCTTAGATGCAAACAGGAAAGTAAGTCATGGTGACTTGTCTGTTACTTGTAACGACGTGTCTGATGTTGAACATGTCATGGTTGATGTTAGTGTTTCATCGTCCAGGGATAATGGGAACATCAAACTCCCTAAATTTGAACCACGGTGTTTCGACGGAAACCCAGCTGATTATTCACAGTTTGTAAGGGAATTTTAAATCATGTTGAGCTGTTTTTATTAACTGATGAAATGAAGTTAATGTATTTGATGAGGTATTGCACTGGAGATGCTTCAAGAGCTATACAGTGCTGTAAGTTTATGAAGCCAAAAGAGGGCTACCACGAGGCTATGAGCATACTACGTCAAAAGCTTGGAAGACCTTCGATGATTGTAGGGAAATTATTTGAGGCTGTTAAGGGTAATGGTGATCAATTACAGGATGACTCCCAGGCACTCACTGAGTTTTTGGATAATTTGCTAATTTACAAGAATGAATTGATTTCGATGAATTGCATGAGTGACCTCAACTCGAATTTTATACTAGAAGTAATAGCAAGACGCCTACCTACTCGACTGCAAAGGAAGTGGATGAAGATAAGCTCTCGTATAGAGGATGAAGGTATCGAGCCAAAGTTCTATGACATTCTGAAACTGGTAAACAATAGCGTCAATCAATCAATGAGCAAGTTTGCCAGTATATTGAATCTCACCCCTAGAATAGAGCAGTCTGCGAGCAAAATGCAATCATTGATGACGAATAGGTCTCAGAGAGGTGGATATCGAGAAAGCTCAATGGTGTATAGTAGTCCATATAAATTTAGTGAGTGTAACAGCTTTCGTGGTATATCCTCAACAGATAGGTTACAATTTGTGAGACAGACACGGTTGTGTTTTACACGTTTGCAAGAAGTGCCTAGAACGATGAATTGTAAATCGGCGAGCAAATTTAATGATAAGCTAAATGTGAAATCCAGGTCTGACTCCGAATTGTGTGAGGATAACAGTGTGGCCTGTAGCTGCAAGTGGTAAGTCATTGTTGAATGGAGCGTCACAGAATGGAGTTATTGCTTCAGAGTGCAGTTCTGACTCCACAACTTTACAAGGTATTACTAGTCAGAGTGAAGATATAAAACCTTTAAGGATTTGTGAGGAGGGACCAAAATTGTCTACTTCTGTTATTAAAGAGTTT